CTGCAGGCGCAGTTTCAGGTGGAGCTCGAGCAGGCGAGCTCAAATTGTGGGAAACGCGACCCTCGCATTTGGGAAATTCGACCCTCGCGTTTCAGACACCGACCCTCGCGTTTGGGACACCGACCCTCGCGTCCAAGCTCTGACGTCCGCGTTTTGGCGCTCCGACGTCCGCGTCTTCGCGTGGCTGGCGACAGGCTGTCGCCAGCCTGTCATGTTTGCTTATATAAACCCCTCGTCGCCCTAGGGTTTTGTTGTTGCTTCTCCTCCTCTGATTTCTCTCTGGCGGCGGCACCAAAAATAACGCAGCAGCGTTCCTCTTCTCCAAACCTTGAAATCGCAGCAGCGATTTTGGTTCTTCATCTCCAGCTCTCAACCGTGCATTGATGGGAGATTAAGAAAGGACTTTAGAGAGAGAGAGAATTGAAAGGGTTTATTTCCTTTAATTATTAACATTGTAGCTACAGTGTTCATCTTTGAGAAATCTCAGTTTTAGGATTTTCTCTTGATTTGTAATTTCTTGTTTGATTAATAAGAAATTGACTGTGTGGCTCCCGAGGACGTAGGCAGTTGCCGAACCTCGTAAATATTGGTGTACTTTTTTCTATTCTGTGTTTCTGTTGCATTAGGGATTTCAGCGTTAGATTCCCAACAACTGGTATCAGAGCGTGAAACGATCTAGAGGAAGTCAGATTCAAGTGGGAGCCATGGTCGCAGATGAAGGAAAGGTGAGATTAGAGAAGTTTGATGGATAAAATTTCGGATTCTGGAAATGCAGATAGAGGATTATCTATATCAGAAAAATCTGTATCAACCTCTCTCGGGGAAGAAGCCGGAGGGTATGAAGGAAGAAGATTGGAATCTTCTGGACAGAAAAGCCCTCGGGGTTATTCGTTTGACGTTAACCCGCAATGTTGCTTTTAACATTGCAAAGGAGAAGACCACGGCGGGTCTTATGGCAGCACTCTCAAATATGTATGAGAAGCCATCAGCCTCAAATAAAGTCCATTTGATGAGGCGGTTGTTTAATCTGCGAATGGCGGAAGGTGCATCGGTAGCACATCATCTCAATGAACTCAATACAGTCACGACCCAATTGAGTTCAGTTGATATTGAGTTTGATGAGGAAGTTCGAGCGTTGATCCTTTTGTCTTCCCTACCAGAGAGTTGGAACGCTACGGTCACAGCTGTGAGTAGCTCATCGGGAAGCAATAAGTTGAAGTTTGACGACGTTCGTGATCTGGTTCTCAATAAGGAGATCCGACAGAGATAGTCGGGTGAAGCTACAACCTCTTTAATATTACATACAGAGTTAAGAGGTAGAAATTCAACCAGAGAAAATGGATTAGAGAACATGAGATCCAAATTCAAGAATCCCAACAGCTCGAAGGCTATCAAGTGTTGGAAGTGCGAAAAAATCGAGCACTATAAGAATCAGTGCAAGAGTGCACAGAAGAAGTGAGGCAAAGACAGATGCAAATGTTGCTTCCACCTCAGGAGGAGATGATGCATTGCTATGCTCTTTGGAGAGTAAGGAGGAGTCTTGGGTGTTAGACTATGGAGCATCATTCCATGCTACTTCTCAGAAAGAATTCCTCGAGAAGTATATCCCCGAAAATCTTAGAAATGTATATCTTGGTGACGATCAAGCATGTGCCATTATTGGCAAAGGTGTAGTGAAGATTAAGCTGAATGGGTCAGTATGGGAGCTAAAGGATGTCAGGTATATTCCCGACCTGAAGAGGAACTTAATCTCAGTAAGCCAGTTGGCTAGTGAAGGCTACACGATGACTTTCCATGGCGATGACTGAAGTATTTCGAAGGGCGCAATGATGATTGCCAGAGGCAGGAAGACTGGTACCCTATATATGACAGCGGGTGCACGTTGTTCGATCTCAGTTACAGCAGGCAATGAGACTTCAAAACTGTGGCACCAGAGACTCGGTCATATGAGTGAAAAGGGGATGAAGATTATGCACACAAAGAAAAAACTCCCAGGTTTACAATCAGTAGATATTGATATGTGTGAAGAATGCATACTTGGAAAGCAGAGAGAGTTAGGTTTCAGGCAAGTAACAGACCCCCCAGGAAGCAGAAGCTAGAGCTTGTTCACTCAGATGTTTGGGGACCAACAACCACCGCGTCGATTGGTGGGAAACACTATTTCATGACTTTTATTGATGATCACTCTCGGAAAGTATGGGTCTATTTTCTGAAGAAAAAGTCAGAAGTGTTTGAGGCTTTCAGAAGATGGAAAGCCATGGTCAAGAATGAGACTGGTTTGAGGGTAAAGAAACTCAAAACAGACAATGGTGGTGAGTATGAAGACACCAGATTCAAAAAGTTCTGCTATGAGCACGGTATCAGAATAGAGAGGACCGTGCCCGGAACGCCTCAGCATAATGGTGTGGCTGAGCGCATGAATAGGACATTGACAGAGAGAGCCAGAAGCATTCGGATGCAGTTAGGTCTACCGAAGCAGTTCTGGGCAGAATCAGTCAACACAGTAGCTTACTTGATCAACCGAGGTCCATCGGTTCTATTGGAGCACAGAATACCATAAGAGGTATGGTACGGAAAGGAGATAACCCTCTCACATCTTAAAGTTTTTGGTTGTGTAGCTTATGTGCATATAAGTGATCAAGGCAGGAATGAGCCTGATCCCAAGTCTAAGAAATGCACATTCATCGGGTATGGTGAATACGAGTTCGGCTACCGCATTTGGGACAACGAAAACAAGAAGGTGATCAAGAGTAGAGATGTGATATTCAACGAGAAGGTGATGTATAAGGACATGCACAAGACAGATTCCAGTGACTCAGAGAGCGAGTCAACATTTGTAGATGCAGATGATGTCCCAGATAACCTCTCTGAAGAACTCAATGCAGAAGGTCCTCAGCCAGAAGAGCCTATTGGACAGAACGGTGCGCAGGAGCCCGACGCACCAGCTCCGATATTGAGGAGAACTACTCGTCCTCCTATGCCCACTAGCAGATACATGAATTATATGTTGCTGACAAATGGAGGAGAGTCTGAAAGCTTTGATGAAGCTTGTCAGAATGGAGATGCGAGCAAGTGGGAGTTTGCTGAGAAAGAAGAGATGAAATCTCTGATCTCCAACCAGACATGGGAACTAGCTAAGTTGCCCATGGGGAAGAAGGCATGTCACAACAAGTGGGTGTATCGAGTGAAAAAGGAACAGGGTGGTTCCAGAATATACAGAGCCCGGCGAGTTGTCAAAGGATTTCAACAGAATATCCAAGGAAGAAAGTATCCAGCGGATATGTTGACAGAGGTAGTGACCTCTCAGAAACTGGAGTTGTGCGCAACTTCAGTTGGCCTTCATGCATAGATGATGAGGGCGGAGCCACACAGGAGAGGAGCTTGATGGGATAGCCTGTTGTCGTCGGTTTGGTCTCCAAGTGGGAGATTGTTAGGTTGGGGGTGGATACCAACCTCCGTCCGGCGAGGAGNNNGCTGTCGCCAGCCTGTCATGTTTGCTTATATAAACCCCTCGTCGCCCTAGGGTTTTGTTGTTGCTTCTCCTCCTCTGATTTCTCTCTGGCGGCGGCACCAAAAATAACGCAGCAGCGTTCCTCTTCTCCAAACCTTGAAATCGCAGCAGCGATTTTGGTTCTTCATCTCCAGCTCTCAACCGTGCATTGAGGGGAGATTAAGAAAGGACTTTAGAGAGAGAGAGAGAATTGAAAGGGTTTATTTCATTTAATTATTAACACTGTAGCTACAGTGTTCATCTTTGAGAAATCTCAGTTTTGGGATTTGCTCTTGATTTGTAATTTCTTGTTTGATTAATAAGAAATTGACTGTGTGGCTCCCGAGGACGTAGGCAGTTGCCGAACCTCGTAAATCTTGGTGTACTTTTTTCTATTCTACGTAGGCAGTTGCCGAACCTCGTAAATCTTGGTGTACTTTTTTCTATTCTGCGTTTCTGTTGCATTAGGAATTTCAGCGTTAGATTCCCAACAGACGAGGCTCCGGGGTTCCAATAACAACGCAAATCTTCTTCACAAACCCTAAAATAAACTCTCACTTTGAATCTCTCGAAAAGCTTTTCTTTTCTCAAAGCATGGAACCTCTTCAAAAGATAATATCTTCCTATCTTATATAGCCTCTTATAAATAGGGAAAAAGACATTAAAATCATAGAATAGTAGCAGTTGGAGATGAAATGGATCACAGAATGGTTGTGATTAACACTTAAAATTTGTCAACATGCATCGTTGCCATCAGTGGGCAATCCGGCCCATTGATTTTTCCCTGAGCACCATCGATGATTGACTATAGATTATCAATAATCTGATTTTGAGTTTCTAAAACTCTGCAATTGTGTAATGTAAGCCATCGTTGGTTTAAGGGACCATCGATGGTTCCCTGTAGCATATCGAGAGTTCATAATCAACTTTCTGGAATCTCTTTGAGTCTTCACTGTAGATCGATGAGCCTTGACCATCGATGGTTCATTGTAGACCATCAATAGTTCTAAGGCTGATCAAAATTAACATAAATGCTTATTTTTGCGTCATTTTCGCATTGTTAACCTTTGCCTCATAATCTTCGCACACCTGTTTTCTCATTTACTATATCATCTCAAACAAATGTCAGTATCAAAATGAGATTTTGTTATTTCTCAAACAAAAGCTATTGTACGGACTTCGTCCTAACAGGACAGCCGTAGATAGTGCTACGAGAATAAAAGTAGATAATGCTATGAGAATAAAAGTACTCGTACAGGAACCACATGAATATTAACAAGACTGGCTCTATATACGTATTGCGTGACATAATCTTGACTAGTAGCAATACATGCACCACTGAGTTTTCTGTCCTGAATAGGCTGCGGACAAAGATCAGACGCCATGTTAATGTTGGAATTCAGCTCCTTGAGAGCACATACCGAAGTGAAATCAAGATAATCACTGAGAAAAAGTCCGCTCGAAAGTGTTTGCGATATACAGGCAACCTCGATTCCGAAAAAATAATCCAGAAAACCAAAATCCTTCATCTCAACTAACAAAACACATAATAAAAGTCGTATGTTTAACATTTACATTGATCAGTGTGTACAAGCTTAATGTGGATACATAGTAAGAGATCAACGATCTTTTATTCCCACTTAGAAGAAACCATTCGTGGAGAAGGCCACTTATCAAGCCTCAAAAAACAACATGCATGAAAGGTCAACTTATTATCACACTATGATACATGATAATGTTAAGAAGCATGCCCCTCTCACATAAGTTAGTATGTATGATCACTCCTTTAAGGGCAAATCAGTACTGTCAGGTGCAGGACACAGGATTGAGGATGAAGAAGCTAATGGCTCATTGACCACTGAGTTAGAAGAAACAAAGATTGGTCGGCCCTCCAGTTGTAGCATGATGCATCCAAGTATCTCAGCAATTAGCTTCTTAAACTCTTCTTCGTTCATGCTTTTCCCGTCGTCTGCGTTCACCATCCTAATCGCCTCGTTCACAATGGCATCGATCTATCGGATCGCATAGCAAATGTGTCAGTTTGTAATATGCAATTTGAGAAATCTTTGGAAAGCAAAAAATGTTAGAACAAAAAGTATTTCCTTCTGAAAAGATTTTCTCATTAATTTCTATTTACAAATCTTGTTTGAAATGATAAAAGGTTAAGAAAATGAAAATTTGAGGTGATCACAGTCGATCGGCTTTTTTATATGCTACCCTTTCTCACGGATGGTTGTCATGGAAAACTCACAGCCAAGTTAACATTTAAAGATCAAATGGTAAGAAGAGAGATAAAAAATTTATTCTCTCTCCCTCCATCCTATTCCTATCAACTTCCACAAATTATGTGGAGAAGGTGAAAAAATTAAAGGGATATGTGACAACGTTCAATTGTCAATTACTTTCCAATCACTTTCTCATTCATAAAATACTAAAAAGTGAAATGACTTTTCATTTCCTTTCCAGTTACCAAACACTTCCTTATGTTTACCCTTGACTGCTGCCATATCGTTTTCTCTCTCTTTTCAACGAAAATGTCTCCATATTCTAGCTTTTTCTTAAAAGAAGAAAAAGACTCAAGGATCCATTTTTCAGGGGCATAAATAATCTTTAAACGTAAGCTCCTTTCCAACTTATTTATTTGAGCAAATAGATCAAATTTTAGACAATTTTGTCTGTCCGGCTCTTTGGAGGGGAAATTCTTATTAACCAAATGCACCTAATTTTTTTTATTTTCTAGTTAGATACAGAATGGAACCTTATAAAATAAACAGATACCTATGATTAAGGCATACTCTGTAAATCCCCAGCTCAGTTAATGTGCAAACTTGTTTCAGCAAAGTGCTAAATAGGAGGTTCTGGGGTGATAAAGGAATTAAGTAAACAATATTAGAAGATGCTGAATCCGAATTACGGAGAACGTGACTAATAGTGTACTATTATCTCTCAAAAAGAAAATATCACATGTAAGGTAATTTGAAAAATCAATAATTAGATGTATGTATCAAAAATTTGATTAAAATCATAAATACTATTAATGATTAGAGCTCAAAGGTTATCTCAAGTAGGCTACCTCGTTGACTGCACCATAAGGAGGCAAACCTGCTGCTGCAGCAATGCTATCAAGAGCAATTCGGAGGTACTCCTTTGATGATTTATGATGGCGATCCTTCGGTAGATCCTTCCATGTTGCATCCAACAACTGCAAGTACCATGTAAATTGCATATTAATGATTGGAGACAGTAGCAAAAGAAATAAGCACTATATATTGTATCAAGTTGCAAGCATTGAAGGATTTTCATGTTATTTTAAGTTAAAGTACATCTAGGTTAAATTACTTGTTGGCCTTTCCTTCACATTTCCTTCACATGATAGGAAGAATTAAATGTTAACATAAAATTAAAATCAGAGCAATGTAGAAACATTAGTTCATCATTGAGATAATGACAAATAATTATCTACTTAAGTGTATACAATCAAGGATTCAAGGTTAGAAGAGCGCTTTAAATAGTAGGTCTTTTTAGACCATTGAACTCTAGACACATTGCAGAGACTATAACTACAACAAAATACAACCATCTTCTCGCAATGCTATCTCCTAGGTATAAAAGATTCTTTATATCCCACAGGATAATCGGTTGAAGCTTTTCATTGAAACATAATTCAAATTTGTTAAGTCTTTACTTGTTAGTTGCATGCATCAGATAAATATATTTCTGTCACTGGACAAAAATTTTCGAAAATTTTTCAATGTTAAATACTTCTAAACTCAGCAGATGCCTTTGACACTCAGTAAATGTGTCAAAGGGAGGTCTGCATAAATAAAAATAAATGTGCTAACATGTCCACCTGAAATAGCTGTTACGCTTAAAGTGCAAAAATATGCACCTCATTTCCATCTGATCACCTGTTGTTCTTGACATGTTATTAAGAATTAAGCATAGTTTTGGCTCTCAAAAAAAGAAGAAAAGAGAAACTCACTGCATACAGATCTTAAGGGAACTTACCTATTCATGTAGCATAGCAAAATTTTGTAATAGCCATCACTCAAAATTTTGTCTTCGGAAAAAAATGGAAATAAGTTCTTACCTTATCCACTTCAAATTTGTTAGACAACAATCGTCTGATACCACTGCCATTGAAGGTGTTTTCGCTGTGTGCAACAATAACAGGATGTTCTTGGAGCCTCTGAGCAATTCCTAATAACAACTTCTTGAATTCTTCTAAGAATACCTCATCAGAAACAGGTTTTTCCAGTTGATCACTAGAAAATGATTGAAGAACAGGCTCAATAATATTGCTCGAAACCTATGACCATTAACCAAGATACATAGTCAGAAACACAATATTATCATCAATAATGATAGTATCTAGTTATAATCCTAATATCTGGTTTAATTCAATGTTTCTGAATTACCCAAGTATCCGAAGATGGGGGCATTCCCTGTTCGACTTTGAGTTGTTCCAGAGCCAGTAACATGCACTTGCCTAAAGAGGCATTACCTGGCTCTATTGTGGAAAATATGGAAACTGCTGTCGGTTCAAACTTTGGACTCTCGACAAATTCTCTTAAATCTTGCCCATCCATCCTTAAAATTACTATTGGATCCCTTCTAAGCCCAGCTGCCATTCCTAACAAAATGTCAGAGAGCACCTCTTTGAACTCAGACTTGCTTACTACGTCCTGTTTTCCATGTGTGAATTCACTCAGAACCTGCAAATTTAATATGTACAAGACTTTTATTTTTTTAACAAATCATGTTATCCAGAAGAAGAAGAAACAATTCAGATTCAATATGAAAGTGAACTTATTTCACCAAGACAAAGTGAATTTAATTAGAAGAAATTGAGGTGAGTTAATAACAAATGTAACAAGGAGGTCTTTGCAAATACTGTCCAATATACTTGAAGATTTAACCTCAATTTTCACATTACATGAATCATCCCCATTACAAAATTCAAGAAGTTTGCAATCTCCTCTATTTGAATTTGGGTTTTGTTTCTTATACCTTATTGGACTAAGACCTGGATAGAGTTGTTACTTGTTAGCCCACCAGACTTCTTAGTAATCAAATTATACATTCCCTGGAATACGCTAGCTAAACTTTATAGGTTCAGTTATTATTACGCTAGAGGCTGACTGCAGGCACCAAACTTTGACCCATCAAGTAAACAATGTTGGATTTAAATCTAATTAAATCTAATTGTGAGCACATATGATTAATCAATGTGTATTGCTATCTTTAAGAATAACCCACTTAAAGTGATCAATTAATTTGAGTTAATGGGTATTAAATAAATTATGGGGTTATATGTGCAGATACCAGGTTATAATTATAATTTGATGAGGGACAAAATTACAAATATACAACACCTATATATATGGGGTTATGGTCCCTAATCTAGGGTTAGCCACTCTCATTCTCTTATCCCCATCTAAAGAGAGTCAAAAGGGAGAAACCCTAAGATTAGAAGATCATCAAAACCCTAACTCAGATTTAAGTTATAGATTCAGGTATAAGCTTCCAACCCTAAGATTAGAAGATCATCAAAACCCTAACTCAGATTTAAGTTATAGATTCAGGTATAAGCTTCCGCTCTTAATGTTTATTCTCTATGATTTAATCACGATTAAGTCTTACAAGTGGTATCAGAGCCACCCGTGATTAATTCTTAGGGGTTTAAGTTTCTAAAAATTGGGTTTTTTTTATCTTAAATCTCTGTTTTTCAGAACTGTTCATGGATGAACAGTAAAAGATTCGATTATGTTGGTTTTTTCTTTCGGATTTTGGGATCTATAGCACTCATGAACTGTAAAGTTCATATTTTTTTTTTGGTTTGATTCCATTTTGAAGCTTGGATCTGAATGATTGAGTTCAAAATCGACAGAAAAATTGGGTTTTTTGTTTCGGTTCGTCGACTTTCTCCAACTGCTCGCTGGAGTTGTATCGACGACGGCCCTACAGTCAGTGGTGGTGGCGGTTTTTCAGAACGAAACCCTAAGGGGTGTTCGTTAGTTGCAGCCCAAGCGGTGGCGCTTCAGTTCTGAACCCTAACGGGTGAAAGAAGAATTAGGGCTTGAGGACTTACCCATTCTCAGGCGAGCCTCGTGCTCGATTCAAACGAACCTCGTGTTCGTTCTCAGGCGAGCCTCGTGACCGATTCAAATGAACCTCGCGTTCGTTCTCAGGCGAGACTCGTGCTCGATTCAAACGAATCTCGCGTTCGTTCTCAGGCGAGCCTCGTGCTCGATTCAGACGAACCTCGCGTTCGTTCTCAGGCGAGCCTCGCGCTCTATTCAAGTTGAACATCGCGTTCATCCTCAGGTCTAACTTCGCGTTTATTTTCAAACGAACATTGCGTTCGTTCTCAAGTCGAACCTCGCGTTCGTTCTCAAGTCGAACCCCGCGTTCATCCTCAGGCGAGTCTTGTGCTCAATCCAAACGAACCTCGCGTTCGTTCTCAAACGAACCCCGCGTTCATTCTCAAACGAACCTCGCGTTCGTTCTATTGTTCTTCTTTTCCGTCGGGTGAAAGAAGAAGGCTGCAACAATTTGAGTTAGGGCACAGCCCACTTAACTCTATTTAGTTTTGGGCCTAATTTTAGTATGTTTAATTTAACTAATTAAGTAATGAGGTCCTATTTAAGCTATGAAAATTTAAATTAAGTTAATTTAATTTAAATTTAAATTGGTAATTAATCAATTATTTAATTTAAATATTATGACACTAATGTATTAAGGTTGTCTCTCACTCCAATTGATTAATTAAAACAAGAAGTTGCCAAAGTAACCTCTCTTGTGTAGACTGTTCATGAGGAATGTGAGATGTTTGTGTGTATGTATTCGTGTAAATATTTAATCGACCCAAAAAAAGGTTAATATTTATTTAGACTGTATACACATCTGCGATGATAAACGTGTGACAATTATAAGATTTACATGTGAATAATGAATCGATCCAAAGATAGTTTTATTATTTGACATGAGTTATTGTCAATGGTTGATCATTACAACAAGGTAACACTTACAAGTTAATATTACTGTCCAAAGACTTGATATTAATGTTGTGCCAGATATCTTGAGATAAGATTTATCATTATTTGAATTTTATTGATTATTAATTATAGTTAATAATGTGAGTATTTTTTATTTATTTCAGCTAATGCATCTGCTACAACAATTTATGCTAACATCAACTCAATTCTCATGCTCAATGAGATAAATTTTAAGGTTTGGAAAGAGAACATATTAATTGTTCTTGGCTGTATGGATCTAGACCTTACATTAAGAACTGAACAATCTCAACCTCTCAATACGGATAGCACTCCTGATGCAAAGAAGGAATATAAGAAGCGGGAGCGTTCAAATCGTATGAGTCTTATGATCATTAAGCGCGGCGTTCCGAAAACCTTCAGGGAAATAGAATCCGAAGGGATTACTAAGATTAAAGATTTTCTTGCCGAAATTGAGAAACATTTTGTGAAAAACGATAAGGTAGAAACAAGCACGCTTTTAGCTCGTTTGATTTCGATAAAGTATAAGGACAAAGGAAATATCAGGGAGTATATTATGGAAATATCTCATATTGCTTTAAAACTTAGAGCACTTAAACTCGATCTTTGTGATGAGTTATTGGTGCATCTGGTTTTATTATCTCTTCCTACACAGTTCAGTCAGTTCAATGTCAGTTATAACTGTCAAAAAGAGAAATTGACTCTAAATGAACTCATTTCACACTGTGTGCAAGAAAAAAACAGGTTAAAGCAAGATAAGACAGAAAATGCTCATTTGATTTATGCCTCTAAGGATAAGGGCAAGAAAAGAAAGAATAATAATGAAGCTGCTAAGGGTCCAGTTCAGAAAAAATAACATAAGGATAATCAGGGTTGTTTCTTCTGTAACAAGCCTGGACACGTAAAGAAGGATTGTACCAAATATCACGCCTGACGTGCTAATAAGGGTACGTTCCTTACTTTGATCTGTTCTGAGGTTAATTTAGCTTCAGTACCTAAAAATACTTGGTGGTTAGATTCTGGTGCTACTACTCATATAAGTATTTCTATGCAGGGTTGCCTGAGCTACCGAAAGCTAAGTGATGTTAAAAGACACATCTTTATGGGCGATGATCAATCGGTAGATGTTGAAGCAATTGGGTATTTTAGGTTGCTATTAGGAACCGGTTCTTATTTGGACTTAAAAGATATTTTTGTAGTACCATCTTTTAGACGGAATTTAGTTTCTATTTCTGTATTGGACAAATCAGGTTATTATTGTTTATTTGGAAATAGTCAATTCAGTTTATCTTTTAATTCAAATGCTGTGAGAACCGGTTACTTGAGTACTTATGATAACCTATATTTGCTTGATACAATTGCTTCTTATAATGAATCCTTGCATGTGGAATCTAGTGGTACTAAGCGTAAATTAAATAAGAAAAATTTGGCGACGTTATGACATAAGCGCTTGGGTCATATCTCAAAAGGTAGAGTTAAGCATCTTGTGTCTAATGGCATTTTTTATTCCCTCGACTTTTCAGATTTCAACGTATGTGTTGAATGTATCAAGGGAAAACAGACCAAAGTTAAGAGATTAGGTGCCAAAAGATCTTCAGACGTCTTAGAATTGATACATACAGAAAAACAGACCAAAGTTAAGAGATTAGGTGCCAAAAGATCTTCAGACGTCTTAGAATTGATACATACAGACATTTGTGGACCATTCCCTACTACATCTTAGAATGATCAACAATATTTTATATCATTCATAGACGATTACTCACGTTATGGGTACCTATATCTCATTCATGAGAAAACTGAGTCTCTGGACATGTTCAAAGCCTATAAAGCTGAAGTTCAGAATCAACTCAATAAAAGAATTAAAACTGTTAGATCTGATCGTGATGGTGAGTACTACGACAGATATGATGGTTCAGATGAACAACGTCCAGGACCATTTGCTAGATACCTAGAGAAATACGGTATCGTCCCACAGTACACAATGCCGGATTTACCTAGCATGAATGGTATAGCTGAAAGACGAAACAAGACTCTTAAGGATATGGTAAGAAGTATGATTGCTCATTCTTTTTTACCAGAGTCACTCTGGGGAGAAGCACTAAAGACAGCAGTTTATATTCTGAATAGAGTACCAAGTAAAACAGTTGCTAAAATACCTTATGAACTTTGAACTGGTCGAAAGTCCAGTTTAAAGCACTTACATATTTGGGGATGTCCAGCTGAGGCAAGATCTTATAGGCCAAATAAAAAAAAAATTGGACTCCAAAACAGTTAGCAGCTACTTTATTGGGTACTCTGAACGCTCTAAGGGCTATAAGTTTTATAATCCCACACTCAGGATTATTTTTGAGACGGGAACAGCAATATTCTTTGAGGATATTGAGTTTGGAGGGAGAAATAAGGTTAGAGACATTAGTTTTGAGGAGGAATTGGCTTCAGATCCAATCCATACAGTTACTTTTGATAATATTCATGTTACTATACCTGTTGTTGCTCAAGAAGTAAATCCGGAACCTCAAGATGATAATGTTGAACAACTCCCTGTTCTAGAGGAACAAAATCAACAACCTCAAGAACCAGTAACATTAAGGAGATCCTTGAGAGAAAGAAGAAATACTATTTCGGATGATTATATTGTATTTCTCCAAGAACATGAGGAAAGTAATGGAATGTTGGAAGATGATCCAATCAACTTCTCTCAGGTCATGAAAAGTTCTAACTCTCAATAGTGGATTGATGCCATAAATAAAGAGTACAAGTCTATGCAATACAATAAGGTTTGGGAATTTGTCCCATTACCAGAAGGTGCAAAACCAATTAGTTGTAAATAGATTTTTAAAACCAAGCGGGATGCAAACGATAATGTGGAGAGGTATAAGGCACGTCTTGTAGCTAAAGGCTTTACTCAAAAGGAAGACATTGATTATACAGAGATTTTCTCTCCGATTTCATCGAAAGACTCTTTCAAAATAATCATGACACTTGTTGCTCATTATGATCTTGAGTTATATCAGATGGATGTTAAGACTGCATTTCTCAATAGCGACATTGATGAGATGATTTATATGGTGTAACCAAAAAACTTTGTATCAGGAGACCCAAAGAATATGATTTGTAAATTAAGGAAATCCTTCTATGGACTCAAGCAAGCTCCTCGTCAATGGTATTACAAGTTTTAACAAATAATTATCTCGTTCGGTTTTGAGATGAACATTGTTGATGACTGTGTATATCACAAGTTCAGTGGGAGTAAGTATATTTTTCTGGTTCTGTATGTCGATGACATAGTGCTTGCCGCTAGTGATATAAGCATGTTGCACGAAACCAAGAGATTTCTATCAAAGAATTTTGAGATGAAAGATCTTGGAGACGCCTCTTTTATATTAGGAATCCAAATACATTGAGATCGCTCTCGGGGTATTCTTGGATTATCACAAATCCAAATACATTGAGATCGCTCTCGGGGTATTCTTGGATTATCACAAAAGAGCTATATCGATAAAGTAGTTAAAAGGTTTGACATGCAAGACTGCAGACCAGGAGACACCCCTGTGGCTAAAGGAGACAAATTTAGTCTCAATCAGTGTCCTAAAGGCAACCTTAAAATTCAAAAAATGCAGAAGATTCCTTATGCTTCGGCTGTAGGAAGTCTAATGTATGTTCAGGTATGTACGCGTCCGGATATTACGTACATTATTAGGATGTTAGGCAGATACTTAAGTAACCCTAGTATAGATCATTGGATAGCAGTCAAAAGGGTTATGAGGTATCTTCAGAAAACAAGAGATTATATGCTCACATACAGAAAATCAGAATAGCTAGAGGTCATTGGGTACTCTGATTCTGATTTTGCTTGATGCCAAGATAGCAAAAAGTCTACATCAGGTTATATTTATATGTTAGCAGGAGGAGCTATATCATGAAAAAGTATCAAACAGACACTTGTAGCTTCCTCCACTATGACAGCAAAATTTGTAGCTTGCTATGAGGTATCCAATCAGGGAATATGGTTACGAAATTTTGTCACTGGACTGCACATTTTGAAAAATATGAAAAGACCACTAAGGTTATATTATGACAATAAATTTACAGTAATGTATTCCAATAACAACAGGAGCTCAACTAAGTCAAAACATATTGACATTAAATTCCTGATTGTGAAAGAAAGGGTACAGAGTGGACAGATAACTATAGAGCACATTGGGACAAACTCCATGATAGCTGATCCTCTTACTAAGGGATTGACACCCAAGATCTTTCATGAGAACACTGCTCATATGGGTGTGGTGTTATTCGAGGATATCATGATTTAGTGGGAGTTTGTAATTTTTGATGCTTTGTGTTTAGTTGTATTGTCAGATCAGAATAAAGTATTCAGTTAAGACACTCTGTTATATTATGTTTGGATTTGACCTCACTAAAGTAGGACCAGTTGAAAATAGACATGTATTGATCACATTGCATGTAATTTTCATGCTGCACATCCATGATTGATCTATATCGTTTGATTATATTGGTATATGTGACTATTGATGGGTCGAGTCACGATAAATGTGACGAATGCCGCTTTGATTCTATATTGATATAGTCAATGGACAAGATTGTTCGGAAATACCTTTTCAGTGATAGCAATTATGAGCTCATAAGATTATACACAATTTAAGGAATCATATGGTGCCCAAGTGGGAGATTATTGGATTTAAATCTAATTAAATCTAATTGTGGGCATATATGATTAATCAATGTGTATTGTTATCTTTAAGGATAACCCACTTAAAGTGATCAATCAATTTGGGTTAATGGGTATTTAAATAAATTATGGGATTATATGTACCAGGTTGTAATTGTAATTTAATAAGGGTCAAATTACAAATGTACAATACCTATATACATGGGGTTATGGTCCCTAATCTAGGGTTAGCCACTCTCATTCTCTTATCCCCATCTAAAGAGAGTCAAAAGGGAGGAACCCTAAGATTAGAAGATCATCAAAACCCTAACTCAGATTTAAGTTATGGATTCAGGTATAAGCTTCCGCTCTTAATGTTTATTCTTTATGATTTAATCACGATTAAGTCTTACAAACAAGCTTAAGCTTGCCTGAACCAGGCTCAACCATTTCTACAAACCTGAGCTCCAACGAGCCTGTGTTTGGCAACTCTTCAAAGTGAGGCCATGTTGGCCTTGGTCCCATTTCGATAAAAATTGTATCAGTCCATGTTTGTCAACTTTGGATTATAATCCACTTAGCTTATAATCCATAAATGACTTATAATTCAATTCAAGTGGATATAATACAAAGTGTTTGGTAAATTTAATCGATTATAATCTATTTCTAATAGTAGAGTGTTCGGCAAATGACTTGCTTATGATCTATCTTTGTTGTCAAAATGACCAAAAAGGGGTTGGAGATAGAGAATAGAGAGCTTTTTGATTTTCTTAAATATTGAGGGATACAGTGGTCTTTTATTTGGTCAAACTATGTGGCTTACAACCTACTGAAAAATAAGTTGGGTTACCCTAGCTTATATTTTTTGGCGTACAAGCCAAAAACAGGTGTTTGCCAAATATGTCGCGATGGCTTATACATCACTTTGACCAACTCCCAAACATGTCTTAGTTAAAACTCGGTCAATATTGGCCGAGTTTTCCTTAGACCAAATTTGGCCCTTTAAAAAAAAACACTTTGGTCGAAAGTAGAGCCAGACCCAATATTAATATGATTAGTAAACGCACCCTAAAACTAGCTAAATTCCAAATATGCCTGTCATAGAACATGACATACCCAGCACCAAGATTGTTGACAAAAAGTCCAATAAAAACAGGAAAAAAAAAGTATTGAAAATCCACAGCAGTCAATTTCCGAAAACAAACATTTGCTGAATTTCATCAGAGTCCAATCCACCACTTAAACTATTGGCCTCTAACATCACCCAATCCTTATCCCAAACATCACATCCCTGCTAACCAACAAAAAATACCACCCATTCTGCTTCTTTCTTTTGCTCATCAAAAAACCAATGGTGGTTCTCAACCTCAAGCTCCTACCCCACTAACTATCTCACCAATAAACTTAGATTTATTTGCAGCAAGATAATATTCAGAATTTGCCCCATCAAAATAAATAAATAAATAAATCTCACCGCATTCATCAGTATCTGCAAATAAAGGGTAAATTTCGCGAAAACTTTCGCTTTTTTTTTAAATAAGGGTTAACCGAAAATGTGACAAACTTTGTGGAAATTTACCCTCGCAACTAATCCACTAAATTAATTGCAACCGAAATCGAAATCGAAATCGCTACGTTCACCTCGGAATAGATGTGATCAGAGTCCGGCGAAGATCCCTGAGCCGGCAACCCGAGCGCAGCGCCGATATCGGCGACAGCAGGCTCGAGCTCCCTCACCGACAGCTTTCCGTCGTGGTCCCGGTCCAGCTCCTGAAACTTGTGGTCCACGTAGCTACTGAACGCCTCCTTGTTCCCAACCAACTCCTCGATGTCCGATCCGTCGAGGACCACTTTGGTGGGCCCCGGTCCCGATCCTTTGCCTGCTGAGGACCCTCTCTTCCTCCAAAACCAGCTCGCCATCTCGGTAGTTGAACAGAGAAGAAAAGAGAGCAAGAAGCGTGGGCGCTGCTGCTTGGCTGGAGCCTGGCGGTGGGGGTGTCTTTCATTCAGGCCTTTATAGCTCCCAAAGGGTTTCCGTGGAGGGGAAGGAGGCAACGGAGATCAGCCACGTGGCCGTGTCGAGGTGAGGACACGTGGAGGTGCGTTGGAATGACCGGGGGTAATTGCTTGGTGGGGGGTCCAGGGATGGAGCCGAACCGTCATTTGGTCAGTGGGAATAGAATTTAAGATAAAAAGTCTAAAAGTTTCGTGGCAGTTTGGGTCCGTGTGGGCTGGCGTTGGGGCTGCACGTAAACACTGGGCGGATGGAGATTGCTATGGAAGAGGCAGGACAGTTTGGTCAATGTGGGAGCTTTTTCTTCTGTTTTGTGTAGAAACTAGCAAAAAGGCGGGACAG